GGGGTTTCTACGTATGTCTGAGATCATATCATCTGTTTTATTAGTAAATACAGAATAAAACTTCATGTTAAATATTTGTTTTTCCTCTGTGTTTGTAAATTGCTTGTCATCTTTTTGAAAGGTGCAACACCAGAGTTATCAGATTGTGTACTATAAATGAAGAGATTTTTGTTTTTTTGTTTTTTTATGTTTCATATAGACCAGATTATGATATTGGTATCACAGATCATTTTTTCAAAATATTTCCAATATCCTAAACGTTATTTTTTTTACTATAACGTTGTGCACGATGTCCCTACAACACGACGTTACACCAAAAATGGGACGTCAAAGAGTGTTTTCGGAAATTTTGACGTCGATTAATTAAATTTGTTAGTTTCATTCGTTTTTTTATATGTTATGGGTTGATTCTGTCTCTGTTATTTTTGTGATGTATTTTTACCATGAATTACCTCAAGTTGTAGAAATCGGTTAACAATGTTTACCCTTAATTCCCCTTAAAATGCTTTATCCCCGGCTTAGTATATTTCTAGGATTTTGATTGGATAACGCACGTCGTTACAAAACCCATAGCCCTTGGGTGTTGCTAACCCATATACCCGGACGTTGCTATCCATTACCCCGGAGGACGTCACGCGCGTTTTCCTTAGTTCCATGGTTGCTCTTTGTGACATATAGAATTCTGTAGATTATTCATGATGTCTGTAATTAAATATTTAATCCACTAACGATGTTATCTTATTTTGTTGATCATTTGCACCCATTTTAGTAAATGCATCACTTGGCTGCCACATTGTCTATGAATGGGACTACTGACCTAGCTATGCAAATGACCCACGTTGACGTCACACCGTCTATGATGTAATTCTCACAACATTGAGCGCCAAATTCGACCCACTCTAGTTTCTCTGTCTCCGTATTAAAAACGTCTTATATATGACTACCTGTAGGGTTCTACCAAAGGTAGTACCCTACACCCCGTGAAAGATATGTCAAATTCCCAAATTTCAATAAAAGATTTTTAGAAAATGAAAAAAACGTTGCTAATTACACTTTATGGTCGAATTTCTCTAAAAATCGACAGATTTGGACTAAGACCGGGAATAAATTCGTTATCTACGTTCATATCCGTAGATATGGATATTTTAACACCCTTCAGTACCCTGTACACCCTTCGGCTTTGCCTCAGGGTGTACTTGGATACTTCAGGGTGTTAAAATATCCATATCTACGGATATGAACGTAGATAACTTATAGTATTGTCGTAAATAATATAGGAATGCAAAATGGGACGGAATTATTAAATATACAGTTTTCCATAGATAAATTAAAACATAATTTTAGAAGCACAAAACTTAAATGACAGGCTGCTAAAATTTTATGGTGCATATCATATGTCATTGTAAATTTTCCATATCTTGATTCAACCCCAATACAAATATATCCGACACTCTGCAAGTAAATTATTTTTTTTACCCTTGATTAATTTGAAATGAATTGTACTTTCCTTGACACACAATTTGTCGAAATACAGCCCTTCTATTATTTGAACCCCAGCTTCAAAATTATTTCCCCAGTCATCTATAGTTTCTTGCTTAAGTTTTCTAACGTCTGATGTACTTTTTAAATTTTAGAATTCTTCTCTTGGATCGTCCGTAAAAACGGGTAATACAATCCCGGGTTGTATTATTTCAATGAAACTGTTTTCGTCGATGTTTGCAATTAGTCTTTCAGTTACCTCCGTTTCATGCACAAGTTTATTTTGACGAAAAGGTCCGGCTTCGCTAGTACATGAACTAGTTTCAGTACGACAGTTATAACATGAGTAGCAGGACAAGTCGCGAACTAAAACTTTTCGAGTACTTGTACTTTTAATTTGGTGAATGTACCTTACTGAAGGGGCGACTTTAAATGATCTATATATATTTCAGGGTACTTCCGCAACATAACGAAAAATTCACCTTTAACATATAGAGGACTGTCTTGGTGTCCCCAAATTGTCTTTGCAAAAGTTGTACATATCATTAATATCATTCTGAATCAAACATTTGCCTCTAGCAACAATAAATCACTAAAAGCTAAAAATGGTTATAAAACATCAAAATTTAATCTGTGTCGAATCTATGTTCCGAGTTTGTCAATATGCACTATTCTTTTTTCTACAGCCTTAAATATCTTTTTCGAAATTTCACCACACGATTTGTTTTTATTATCAGGAACATTTAATTGAAACAAATTTAGCACATGCAACGTCGGAAATAAGCGTTTTTCGGATTTTTCGACGTTTTCACTCGTTTGGACAAAATGGCTACCGTTTTGTAATGTTTCGTAGCATTTAATTCCTTTCAGACCCAAGCATGAAGTTAATAAAAAAACAAATCTAGGCATTGTGTACTCTTCGTGTATCTAACTTTTGTTTTTATACATTATAAATAACTTATTGAAATATCAGTTAAAAACCCACATTAATTGCTTTGACAAATGAAATATCAACTTGGACAAAATGACTACCGCTTGAACAATGAGGCAAATATTTGTACTATTGGTAGATGTTATTATTATCTTACCATTTTTAGACATTTTCTGCTATATCTACTTATAAAATACACTTTCAGTCGTTGAGTCAACGAAAAACGTCGTTGGACATTTTTCTTATTCCAGCTTAATATGCAGCCGCCGAGTCAAATAAAATTTGACAAAAAAATGACTTAATTGTCAAAAAGAACCGACACATATCGTTGTTCTTTCCAAGTTTCAGGAAGATAAGAGACTAATAAATTCAAATATACTAGATATTACTAAGCATATGACCAAGAGCTATACGAACATTATTGAAAACATAATTATACTGAATTTGTTTTTATAGTGGTTAGTGTTTGCTAACATTTTTGTTTTGTTTTGCGGAGGAAATGTCGAAGATTCTTTTTTAAATCCTATGGGTTGTAGGAACAGCGTGCGTAACGTATATATTATTATTATTGATCTTTCTTCCTTTTTATATCAGCTTTGTATTCTTGTTTATGAGCTTACACTCTTCAACTGTTACCCAAGGTTGTCTATTTTTGTTAGTGATAACTTTGTGTGGTACATTTTTCCTAATAGATTTTAATAGGTCTATCTTCTTCGAAAATAGACTGACAACGCCATGTCAAAAAAGACCAAAAGACAAACAACAATACATCAAACAAAACATAGACAACTAAACTAAAGACTGAGAAACACGCACCTCACCAAACACTGGGAGTCATCTCAGATTTTCCGGAAGGGTAAGTAGGTCATGCTTCTTATGTGGCATTCGACGTGTTGCTCATGTAAGTACAAAACCGATGATAAGTCTAATTCTGTAGGAAACATTCGAGGAAAACGGAATGGGATTGAGGTTATTGGAACATATCCGTCGTCATCTGTGAAACAGATATTCCATAACAGTCAACTGATTTGTAATGGCGCCCATACCATTTACGAAGAGATGATTCAACTTCACCACTTGAAACTCTTGATTTAATAGCTTTTTTGTAAGCAGCAACCATCTACCTAGAAAATTATGATAGGATATGCATCCTCTGAGTATCGTATCAACTGAGAACTATGCATGTGCTGCTTGAATGTTGCCATATAGAAATGGAAAGTTTACAATTTGGAAATAAAATCATCTGTTTGTCGTAAAGTGTGGCTCTAAACCGTAAATCATTTTCAATTTCTAGTTAAATCAAGGGGCAGTCTTAATTGTGTCTGTTGTATCATTTTTTTTTCAAGTTCGTACTATTCGGGAATGCCTAATATTTGTTGAAAAACACTTATTCCGAAAGAAAATAAATATATTGTCAATCAAGAATTAATCAAGCATCTTGATGAAGCAAGTTCCATAGATTTTTTTAAAATCATAGTGTTTTTTACCAAAAATGATTTGTCTCTCCCTTAAACTAGAAACTTGTATCTATGCTGGCCATTCTGTAAATATTTAATCGGTAAAGATAATGAATTATGTTTGATTGAGTTGACTTCAAAGTGTCACATTTTCATAAATTTCAGAGTCCAACGGCAAATCTCCAGCATCTTTCGTACAAATACAGAGTTGTTAAACTATTTCAGTACTGGCACTAAGGAATATAAAAAAATAGGATGAATCCTTACATTACAGATACAGAACAACATACTCTCCTTGATGAAGAAGACAAGAAAAAATATTTACTTTCCAATGTTGCATTAACAGTGTTAACCAGAGGGTTTGAGATACAATTTAAGCATCAGTAAATATACCGTTAAGTTAAGAACATCTTAAGACACCTAAATTGGTGTTTTAATCTTACATTGTAGGACAATTCCTATGATTTATCCTAAATTGCGACAAATTTGATAAGCCGTCTTATGACAAGAACAAAGATAGTTTAAGGAACACTGAAGGGGCAATATATATATATTGGCAGTCAGCAGGGTTTAAGAACATTTGTTGTTCGACCTGCTAGTCAATGCGTTTTGTTAAAATATACTTTTTCACTTTTTTGGTCTTTTGGAAAATGTTGTTTGTGCTGTATTTAGACCCCTCTAACAAGAAATTTGTTTTGCATGCACACGTATAAAAATTGCGGTTTTTATCCAACGCAATCATAGGTTTGAACGTTGTTTTCAATTAAGACTTGTTTATATTTTTTCGTTTGGGCTTGTATTATATTTTCCTACGGGTTTATATGATCCGTTCATCCTATTTCGACTCTCTAATATTCAAGAGTCTATCCTAAATTCAGGTAAATTATATGGCCTTCCAAATACCGTTTCGATCCCTAACATCACTGAAGAGACATTAATTGTCGAAATCCGGATATGGTGTAGAAAAAACTTTTGCACCTTTGTTTGTGGTATAGCATCTTTGCCGCAAGTTTATTGTTTTCTGTTTGGTATTAAATTTATAGTTAAGATCGACTTATTACACCTTGTGATCCGTTTATTTGGCAATCGCAAATTGCAGTCAGCAGGGTTTAAGAACAGAAGTAACGATACATGTACTCAATAAATAAATTATATAAACGCCTGAAAAGTGTACAAAACAACACCAATAACAAAAAAAGAAAACTATAAATGTAATTATTTATAAATATTTCGGATAACAGATATCCTTCATCAGTATGATTATGATCCATGGATGTCAAATGAATCATATCAATCTACTTTGATTAAACTATAACAATCTTGAAATTTATACAATAAAACAGTTAAACCGAACATCATAGTTTAGACGCTTGTACAATTCTAAAATTTTAAACGCAACATAGGTTATATATATATATATATATATATAAGGCATCCAGGTAATAAAATATGAAGTTTTAAAAGATAAAATAAAGGCATACAGACTTTATAGCATGTTCAGTGCTAATATTGACTTATATTGTGATTGGTCTTTGCAATTTGCATGTATTTTTCTTTGGATATTCAGTATGAAGAAAACAGAAATTGCAATTAGAAAAGGACTTTGTATATTATGCAAAGGAAAAGCGATTTAAACACCAAGTACTAGATCAAATAAATTATCGGCAATTTGACCAATTTCCCCTTCAACACACTGCTTTAGATTTTTCTATATCAGGGACAGGCCCTGATTCTAGACAATATTAGACAATGATGTCAAGTAACAGTGCAGGAACGTCAAACGTTCATGTTCATCCGCGTAAATTTATCAATAAAAGGCACTCGACTTCATTCATACAACCGAACAGCTATCTAAACATTTTGCATGTTACTAACTATTTCATTTTATTTCATATTCTTCACCAAAACATATTGTTAAGACAAAATTGCAGATAAAAAGGATAATAACATATTTGTTTTTGATATTAAAATTGAGAATGGAAATGGGAAATATGTCAAAGAGACAACAACCCGATCAAAGAGCAGATAACTGTCGAAGTCCACCAATGGGTCTTAAACACAGCGAGAAAATCCCGCACCCGGAGGTGGGCCTCAGCTGGCCCCTAAATAAAAATGTGTACTAGTACAGTGAAAATGGACGTCATACTAAACTCCAAAACATATAAATCCATTAAAATTTTTAAAAAAATACAAGACTAACAAAGGTCAGAGGCTTCTGACTTGGGACAGGCGCAAAAATGCGGCGGGGTTAAACATGTTTTGTGAGATCTCAACCCTCCCCTATACCTCTAACCAATGTAGAATAAAGAAACACACAGCAATACGCACAGTAAAACTCAGTTTAAAAGAAGTCTGAGTCCGATGTCAGAATAGGTAACAAAAGAAACTAAGCAAAATGACAATGGTACATAAATTAACAAAGGACTACTAGCAGTTACTGACATGCCAGCTCCAGACCTCATTTAAACTGATTGAAAGATTATGTCTTCATCATATGCAAATCAACCACAATCCCTCCCGTGAGTGGTTTAGTATCATACCATCATAAAATATATGAGAAGAAGATAAGCCGTATCATGCCAACAACTGGTTTTAGAATAAATGTGTTCATTTACGATGCAAAGACCCTAAATTTATCATTAAGAATATATAGGGTAAAAACATTTATATCATGTGCAAAGATTTTACATTACAATTTATTAAAGTCGGCATCTAAACAGATAGTTGACACTACAGTACCATATCATATTTGATTTTGAACTTGTTCCAGTCTTCAACTAATTTCATTGGAGATCTGAATCCATGTGATGAAAATAAATGTTTCATTCTATCTGGTCGATATTGTGTACTAAATCTTGATTCATGAATTGGAGAAATCTGTAACTCTTTACACACAATACCTAGGTATACGTCATCTATAAATATTGGCTTCATGAATTTGAACTGAGTCAATAGTTTATTAATAATATCAATGGTCAATACTAACGAACCACCACTGGCGTATGGTGGCCAAATATCATCCTTAAAATCATCTTTTGGAATAAACCATTTAGATTTAGCATTCCTTTGAGGTTTGGCATCTTTCCAGACATATCCCAAGAACACACTGCGCTTTCTGGCAATATACAAACTATGCAAATGATTCCAAATGTATTTGGTATTCACAATGTAGTCGTCATCTACAAAGAAGATATAGTTTGCATCACTGCAATGGGAAGCAACCCATGTGAAACCCATTATCGTTTTTAATGTATTATTCTGATAGTCGTCCAGAAAATTCTGTTGAATAATGTCTTTATATGTGTCACTTTCCATTTGTATAAATGATTTCAGCAACGGTGAATATCCAAGGAGGAAAACCAGTTTTATTCCTGGGTTTGAGGAAGCTCCCCAAGTATTTCGTATAGCTATTCGATGGGCGATATGGTTAACATCAGATTTTACCACAATTAGCAAGAAAGGATCAGACTTAGCACCATTTGATTTACACACTTGAACTGGAACATGAAGGTATGGAAATGAATAATCGTAAATTTGAGTACTCTTTGTAGTATTGTTTCTCACTTGAACTTTTGTAGTTTTGTTTTTAACTAAAACTTTTGTAGTATTGTTTTTAACCAGAGCTTTTAAAGTAATGTTTTTAACTTGAACATTTGTAGTTTTGTTTTTAACAAAAAGTTTTGTAGTATTGTTTTTAACTAGAACATTTAAAGTATTGTTTTTAACTTGAACTTTTGTAGTTTTGTTTTTAACTAAAACTTTTGTAGTATTGTTTTTAACCAGAGCTTTTAAAGTATTGTTTTTAACTTGAACTTTTGTAGTTTTGTTTTTAACTTGAACTTTTGTAGTTTTGTTTTTAACTTGAACTTTTGTAGTTTTGTTTTTAACTAAAAATTTTATGGTATTGTTTTTAACTAGAACTTTTAAAGTATTGTTTGTAACTAAAACTGAATTCGTATTTTTTTGTGACACCGTATGAGAAACAATTGAGTTAACAGTACTTTTATCAGTATGCACTCTTGCATAAGACTTCTTGTTAACTGATGTTACAAGTTTTGATTGTTGACTAGAATTGGAAGAGATGTTTGCAAGAATGCAGATGAGTAAAAGTATAGGTACAGTCTTAAATAGCGCTATTGAAAGTATACGAAGTTTCTTCCACATGTTTTCCAGCGGGTATCAAAATTGGTACTGTTTACTATTCACGTATGAAATCCACAATTTTGGCATCTGAAACATATAAATGAACTATTTATCTGTGTTATGCTTTGCAGTTGGGTTGCTAACCATTACTGTCCATATAACGCAACTCTAAACAACTGTCAGACACATGGAAGGTTTGGTAAACTATAACACAAGCTTTTACCCACCATTTTCTTACGAAAATACCTATACCAAGTCAGGAATATGAAAGCTGTTTTCCCTCGTTCTGTTGGTTTGATTTTTCCACATTTTGAATTTACACTAATATTAATTCTGTTCGTTTATGGATACTTTGAGGAACTGGAATTTGTATCGTACATCGGATATATTCATATCAATCGTTCTATATATCAATTGACTGACCCTACCATAGACAAAAAAAAATTGACTGGCCCTACCATACACAAAAATATCTTCATTATTAAATGATAAGATTGGTCCTCTTAAAGACACGTGCATTATTATGATAACTAACATATTTTAAATTTCCTTGCACATTTATTTAGTAAAAAGCGTTGAAAATGATAAGTGATAGGAACAGCCCTTTGTTGGGCTGTTAAAACTTCGCTAAAACACGTAAATTTCTTCAAGAATAATATTTTTAAAGTTATGCCCGAATGCGATTGAAAACATAACATTGTGGTATTTCTTATGTTCTTGTAAAATATTTGAAGACATGTTGAGATCCACTTACATTGTAAATTATTAACGTTTTGTCCTTTTCGCATGGTCATTAAATTAATGATTGTTCTTTACTTTCTTGTCCAGGGCGTCCATAGCTGACGGCAAGTTTTGGTAACAAGTCTTAATATGTAAAATGAAAGGGGATATAAAATAGTTAATAGCGTTTTTCTGACAATGAAGTTATCCCTGAAGTAAGCATGAAAGTGTCGTGACGAGTCACATATTGAGAGGAAGATTACTATTAATTTTTAGGTCATCACCTCACAGATCAAGGCCAAAATTAATAAAAATAGACGAGGACTTGTGCAAAAAATGTAGTTTACAGATGCTTGCTCAATTTAGACAAATTCTACATATGGGGTTACAAACTTACTTGGATGTATATAGTTATTATAGGTAATGATATCAGGATTTGAAAGATAAATGTCATAAATACTAAGGCTAGACCGTAGTTTGTAATGAAAAATGATATCCGGATGCCAAATAAATACTACATAAAGGTTTGCAACCTTACTGAGATATATGATTCAATATAGTGGGAAGTAGATCCCTATTGATTTTGTGGTCACCATGTTTCAGGTCTGAGTCATCTCACTAAAAAATAGAATTTGTGTTAAAAGAGGTTTCCCGGTGTAAATGAAGTACTACATACGAAAAAGCAACTTTACTGGGATATATTATCACATTTGATGAGATTACGATATGGAATTTGCGGTCGTTAAGAAGGTTCCTATTATTTTCAAGTCACTTGGTATAATAGCAAGGTCACACTTACTAAAGAAAGATTGACATAAGACAATATTAATTTTTAAAATCATCATGTATGTTGGACGAGGAGAACGTGAGCTTGCTTACTTTAGAATCGTTGATGTGTTAAGTTTTCAATATGAACTCCATTTCCATCGTTTCTTTTTTCTTGTCGCAACGTTTATCTTTGTCTCCCGATTACCATTGTTCTTGACTGTAGCTTCAGTATTTTGGTTCTTCTTAGAGACAACTGTATTGTATTTGAATAATCACCGGTAGTGAATATTAGTTATTTCGGGCCTTTTATAGCTGACTATGCGGTACGAGTGCTCATTGTTGAAGGCCGGACGGTGGCCTACAGTTGTTAAATTCTACGTTATTTGGTCTTTGTTTGAAAGATGCATCATTGGCAATTATACCGCAGCTTCTTTTTTTATAAAGTAATAAACTTTAATAATCCATAAAACACAATAAATATATGTTTAGGTTTACAGACACGAATTTTAGCTATAGCAAATTGACTTGTAATATCATCTTCTACATGTCCTTATATGAATTTTCAGACATTGGTAGTGTATATTCAATACTTAATTTATATTGAAACTTGTAGCATCCATATTGCTGCAAGAGGACATTAAAGTGTAGTTAAGGAAGAGCTTTTTAATTTACTATTATTTTGCTATAATTAGAACGATTTAAAGATTCATGTAAATTGATAAGCATCACTAATTATATTGGTCTACCACTAAAATTCAGTCAAATTTATAATTTCCTCTACCAGATCGGTTATGACAGTGATTCTCTCAGTTGTACCTTATAAAGACAGCGGATTTGCTATTTATCGCCCTTCCCTTCGCCTATGTCACCCTGCTCAACTCTTCATACAATTGCATATCACGGCTTTGTGACGTCAAATATTTTAACCCGGCCTTAATCACTTTAACCCGGACTGATCAACGACGTCATAATAAACGAACCGAAGTTGCTTAGTTTGACCCGGACTTATCATGTCATCTTCCGGTTTGCTGGTGAAACACTTGTTTCTATCATGCAAAATACACAAATACAATCCGATAAATCGATTATCAGATCCTCATCATATTTATATTGTAAAATATCAGCTGCTCTACACAAAATGAATCCTTTTTGAACTCGTTCGCTGCGCTCACTTGACAAAAAGCTTCATATTGTGACTCGCAGCTGATATTTTAAAATATAAATATGTGGACAACCTGATAATCGGTATATATACTCACTTTTTGGTCGATCATTTATCTTTGTCTTTCATATGTTCCAATTTTGTTTTCCTGCAGCTTGTGTTTTAATTACTTGTATGTCTGACCTTTAACCTCCAGCTTACTTAAACGTGTCTCCTATCATTAACAGTTTTATACGTTAGAAGGAAGTTTACTCTTCAACGACCATTATCCTGTTACATTAAACACACTGTGTATTGCTATTTTAATTCTTTTTTTTTGGTCTAAATTCTTCCTTCCTTCCTTTATTTTTCTTTTCTTTTCCTTTTTCTTTAATTTGTTATTGTTTACCTCTTTGCTTCTTTGCTTATTTATTTGTTGTTTTGTCCATTCCTATAGTTCATGTGAAGTTTTCATAGAACTACATCGAATTACTCTCGCCAGTCCTTTGTTAAGGAAGCAACCATTTAACTTCAAAAAGATAAGGGTATTGTTTTTTGTCTGATTCAGAAATTTTGTTTTCGTGCAAAGCCCGAATATTTTTTTTCATACTTTTTCGACGCTATCAATGAATTTATTTTTCAAAATTTAAGACTAAGGTATGGGGAAATCTGTATTCGGAATATTTTTTTTGTCATACGCTTGACCACAATATTTTTTCATCAAATTGGTGATCAGAATATTTTTTTTAGGAAAAAACCGTACCCCTACCCCCCTTCCCACCCCACCCCCATTTGAAGTTAAATGGTCGTTCCCTTAATTTGTTGGAGACTGGAATCCATGCGAGGCATATAAAACATTTGTCGCAGAATGCCAGACATAGTGATTACAATCGGCGTCAACTATTTGTATTAAGCTTTATATTTCAGAGGGTAGAAGGCCGTATATGCAAATGCTTCATGTTACGAAGTTTCGTCTATAACAGGTCCATTCCCCTTGGCCTAATTTACATGGTTCAGCGACTGCTTGAAATTTTTGTTCGCTATGTAACTTTCACTATAGTTATGAGTAATATGATAACTATATATGGTATATGGGGTCCTTGGAACGTTTTCATGTCCGTCAGACAGGGTTCAACTGACCTCGACCTGAATTCATGGATCAGTGATCAAGGTTAAAGTTACATGATAAGCTCCGTTTCTCAGATACTTTTTTGTGTATAAAATGATTGTAAGGTGTGATTGTCAGTCTGAAAGGTTTTATCTGATCTTGACTTCATTTTTACGGTTTATTAGAATATGTTAAGTTTTTGTGTTTTTGGTCTGTTTTTTATACTATAAAAGATAAGTGAACTATATTTGCTGTATATAATGATTGTTAAGTGTACACGTCTGTCTGGTAGCTTTCATTTGTCCCTGACCTTATTTCCATTGTTCATTGGTAAATATTTAATTTCAGTAGTTAGATATTCTTTTAAGATACTTCAATATGTCAACTATATTTGGTGTTGATTACAAGGTGTACATGTCTGTCTGGCCGAGTACATCTGACTTTGACCTCATCATTTTCATGGTTCATTTGTCAATGTAAAGTTTCCCTGGTTAAGTCTGCTTCTTAGATACTATAAGCAATACGGTTAACTGTATATGATGCTTGGGCTCAGGTGTACAAGTTTGTCTGGTAGTGTTCACCTGACCTTGACCCACACCCGATGTTGCAATTACTGAAATAGAAGAAATGCCATTGATAACGACTGTGTGTGTTCTGACATGTAGAAATGCCTTAATCCAATTTAGTGCGTTATTGCGAATACCATAGAAGTGAAGCTTATGAAAGAGGCTATGATGTGAAACTATGTCGAAAGCTGTAGCAAAGTCTTTTATGATAAAGTCTGTTTGAGTGTTACTATTATTATTGTGTGACAACTTTTGAATAAAATCTATAATTTGTGTTTTACAAGACCTTGATTTTTTTTCTAAATCATGCCGAAGAACGTGTAATATATGATATTTTTCTAGGTGAGACATCCTACCACTTGTAATGATATATACCAAGAACTTACAAAATATACATTTTAGAGATATAGACCTGTAGTTTACGGGTTTATATTATTCCCCTTTCTTGAAAGCTGGGGCATATACATGTTTCCGATCCGTCGGTATTTCTCCATTTTCAGGAGACATTTTAAATATTAAGATTGATGAAACTTGTTCCTTTAGCTCTTTAAGGATTCAGCCATTGATGTTATCAGGACAACAAGCTTTATGTGGATTAAAGTTTGACAATTATTTGGTAATACCTGCTTCATTTACTGTTATGTTTGGCATTTGAGGGGTTTCTACGTTCGTCTGGGATCATATAATCTGTTTTATTAGTAAATACAGATTAAAACTTCATGTTAAATATTTGATTTTTCCTCTGTGTTTGTAAAACGCCTGTCATCTTTTTTTCAAAGGTGTAACACCAGAGTTACATCAGCTTGTGTAGTATAAATGAAGAGATTTTTTGTTTTTTTTGTTTTTTTATGTTTCATTTAGACCAGATTCATATATTGGTATCACTTTTCTTATAATTCAAACAAGTAAAAATAACAAAAATGCCGAACTCCGAGGAAAATTCAAAATGGCAAGTCCCTAATAAATTGGCAAAATCAAAAGCTCAAACACATCAACCAAATGGATAGCAACAGACATATTCCTGACATGGTACAGGCATTTTCTTATGTAAAAAATGAAGAGATTTTTTGTTTTTATTTTTTATGTTTCATATAGACCAGATTTATTTATTGGTACATCACAGATCATTTTTTTCAAAATATTTCCAATATCCTATACGTTATTCTTTTGTTTCAATGTTTTATATTATTATAGATCTTTCTTCCTTTTTATATCAGCTTTGTTTTCTTGTTTATGAGCTTACGCTCTTCATCTGTTATCCAATGTGTATTTTTGTAGGTGATCATTTTGTGTGGTACATTTTTCTCCTTCTTCGAAACCATGTCTTGGCAAAAACAAAGACCAAAAGACAAACTACAGTACACCAAACAAAACATAGAAAACTAAAGAGCAACACCCACCCCACCAAAAACAGGGGGTGATCCCCCATTTTCCGGGAAGGGTAAGCAGATCCTGCTTCTTATGAGGCATTCGTCGTGTTGCTCATGTAAGTACAAACCTTGTGATAAGTTTAAATCGGTAGGTCACATTCGGGAAAAGGGAACGGGATTGAGTTTATTGGAGCATATCCGTCGTCATCTATGAAACAGATATTCCATAACGTTGAACTAACTCGTAATGGCGCCCGTAAAATTTATGAATTGACGATTTCAACTTCACCTCTTTGAACTCATAAGTTTAATAGCTTCTTTGTAAACAGCAGCCATCTACCTAGGAAATATGATAGGATATGCAACCTCTGGATATAGTATAAACTGTGTGCTATATACTTCATATGCATGTGATGGTAGAATGTTGCCATATAGAAATGGAAAGTTCACAATTTTTGTCGTAAAGTTTGGTTCTTAACCGTAAATCATTTTCAATTTCTAGTTAAATCACGGGACAGTCTAAACTGTTTCTGTTGTAACTTTTTCTTCAAGTTCTAACTATTCGGGAAGGTCTAATATTTGTTAACAAACACATAATCCGAAAACAATATATATTGCCAATCAAGAAATAAATCAAGCATCTTGATGAAGCCAGTTTTAGAGGTTTTTTTTATCATTGTTTTTTTTTTTACCAAAAATGATTTATATCTCCTTAAAACAAAATATTCGTATCTATGCTGGCCATTCTGTAAATATTTAATCGGTAAAAATAATGCAATATGTTTGAGTGAGTTGAATTCGAAGTATCACATGTTCATAAACGTCAGAGTCCAACGGCAAATCTTCATCAGCTTTCTTACAAAAACAGAGTGATTTAACTATTTCAGTACTGTTACGAAGGAATATGAAAAATGGGATGAATCCGTACTTTATAGATACAGAACCACATACTCTCCTGGATGAAGAAGACTAAGAAAAATATTTACTTTCCAATGTTGCAACCAACAGTGTTAACAAGAGGGTTTGAGATAAAATTTAACCATCAGTAAATATACCGTAAAGTTAGGACCATCTAAAGACACCTAAATTGAAGTTCTAAATTACATTGTAGGACAATTCCTATGATATATCCTAAATTGCGACAAATTTGATAAGCCGTCTTATGACAAGAACAAAGATAGTTTCAGGAATACTGAAGGGGCAATATATATATATAAATATAAACAAGTCTAAATTGAAAACAACGTTCAAACCTATGATTGCGTTGGATTAAAACCGCAATTTTTATACGTGTGCATCCAAAACAAAATTCTTGTTCGAGGGGTCTAAATACAGCACAAACAACATTTTCCAAATGACCAAAAATGTAAAAAAGCTAGCAGGTCGAACAACGGATGTTCTTTAATTCTACTGACTGCCATCGTCGATTGCCAAATAAACGGATCACCAGATGTAACAAAATGGATCTAAACTATTAATTTAATACCAAACAGAAAACAATAAACTTGCGGAAAAGATGGTATACCACAAACAAAAGGTGCAAAAATTTGAACACCATATCCGGATTTCGACAACTAATGTCTCTTTAGTGATGTTAGGAATCGAAACGGTATTTGGAAGGCCATATAATTTACCTAAATTTAGGGTAGACTCTTATATAGCTAATCTACAATCAATTCCATCTTCGTGTCTAATATATCATGTATTGTGTTACAACTCTAGATTCTACTGACGAGAAAAGGTAAAACTAGGCCACCGAAAGCTGGTCAGTCTAGGTGGCCAAGTGGTCTATACTGCTGGGTGTTGTCTCGATATCCAAAAAGCATGAGCTCGAATCCCGGCGAGGGAAGAACAGAAATTTGCTTCTGCAAATTTGCAGATTGAACATTGTTGTGCTGTTATTTAGAGTAATTATATATATATATTTATATTTATATAATAAGTATGTGTGAACCAGTGACAACTCTACGACAGATTTTATCCATCGGATCACCAGTAATGGTGATACAAGGCTGAAAACGCATTCTGTATACATAATTCGTCTAAATAACAGCCCAACAATGTTAGATCTGTAAATTTGCAGAAGAAAATTCTTTGTTCTTCCTTGACCGGTATTTGAACTCATGCTACTGTGCTACTCTTTGGTCGGGTTCTTGTCTCTTTGA